GTATTGCTTGTCTGGTTCTCCACTGATAACAAGATCCGTGAAGATCCAGGGTAGAATAGGTCTTCAGCACCCCATGCTTACCGTAAAAAGCGACTATGCTTGTTGTAAGAGTCGACTAACGGCATCGGGTGGTCAGGCTCGCTAACTTGGTTGATGCATGTCATTGTATCCGAATTGCGTGGATCAATGCTCATGATGTCAATCACTGGATTGTCTGTTCCAGAATTGATTATTATTTATGACCGCAGTCATACAGCTTGAATATTGAGTGTGGCGTTTAACAGCCAGGAAAGAAAGATTTGGTTGTTGGTTGGTTTGTTGTTTAACGCCGCACTCAGCAATATTCCAGCTATATGACGGCGGTCAGTAAATAATCGAGTCTGGACCAGACGATCCAGTGATTAATATCATGAGCATCGGTCCACGCATTTGGGATCGATGACATGCATCAACCAAGTCAGCGAGCCTGACCACCCGATCCCGTTAGTCGCCTTTTACGACAAGCATGTGTTGCTGAGGACATTCTACCCCGGAATCTTCACGGGTCAGAAAAGAAAGAAAGAAACATTATAACGGATCAAACTGCAACTCTTCTTGCTCATAATGACATTGCAGATGCTTAGACGTCACTGTATGATACTGCATATGTTCAGAAATTTACCCCGAGCATCACGACCAGGCTGTCCGGACACACATGTTGATGACTGGTAAGCCAGGAAGTCACACACTTCAGTAAATATCCGAATAGTTGACACCTTCTGCTGATGGTGGTTGGCTTTGTTCTGTAAGAACGTACAACCTCATGGGCTCCTTCACCCAATGTTTGTCAAAGCAGCTCACGAGAAGTATAAGGTGGTCGTGAATCTGACTTTGTTAATAGTAAGGACATTACTCTTTCTGCAACCCGGTCAGCAGGGTAGCCTTGTGGTTAAAGTGTTCACTCATCCCGCCAAAAACCCGGGTTCGAATCCCAACATGGGTACAATGTGTGAAGCCCGTTTCTAGTGTCCCCTGCCGTGATATTGCTGGAATATTGCTAAAAGCTGGAAAATCATATTCACTCACTCACTCTTGCTGCAACCAATGATGCTACAGGCAGTAATGTCGGTAATACAGCTGTCAGCTGCTAAGAACGCTCGATAACTCGATCCAAATGTTCTGAAATAGGCTGATAATGTTGTATCTGTAGGAAGAGGCAACTAACGGGATCGGGTGGTCAGGCTCGCTGACTTGGTTGATGCATGTCACCGTATCCCATTTGCGTAGATCGATGATCATGATGTCAATCACTAGGGGTGTCACGATAAATCGAAATATCGATATATTGCTATTGGTAAGCACTTAAAGTCAATAAATCGATTGTTAAATCAGTTTCCGATCGATAGTATCGATTTCAGTTAGGAATATCGATAGTTTCGATTGTATTTACCATATCAATAAGATACATGCAATGCTGTTCAAATTTGTTTTTCTTTTGATCATGAGTGGTAGTAATTTAGACATGGTAATGTGGAAGTTTCTTTTTCTTAAATTATTAGGGTAAAGAAAAAACAAATCAGTCATATCTCAAACTTTACTATTTATTTGTTGTTATGGTTATCACATTCAAAGGAAACTCTTTAAATCCATCTAGAATAATACACTGAAAACTATTCATCACAATGGTTGCTTGCAATATCAATAGTTATCGCAACAGTTTCTTTCAATATCAATAGTTATCGCAATAGTGATTTCCAGACCAATAGTAACCCCTATCAATCACTGGATTGTCTGGTCCACACTCGATTATTTACAGACCGCCGTCATATAGCTGGAATATTGCTGAATGCGGCGTTAAACAACAAACAACAAAGACTTCCATAAAGCGATAACGTCCGTTATGTTAACTACAATAACATGTCGTGGGAATTTCGAATTCCAATTTTAGAATTTTTCCTGACATTTGCTGTAGAAATTGGACTAAATATCGGCATCTGACCGGGTTCAGATAAATCCCTGGTGACCCAGATTGCTAAGAATACTTTGTTTAGAGGTCACAGCGACCCCAGCAATCTGAGGCACAGTAAGATGCCATTCAGCACCTGTGATGACATGCTGAAGTGTCATGTGTGTTTAATCATTTGTATGTTGGGACCAATTAAGCAAGAAATTGTCTGCCAGGGCAGATGAAGCACGACTGTGACAATATGCCAGCGGCCAGTCCGTAGGGGCAAACGTTTCTCAGGCCTCAAGATGCGACTAAAATGGTCACCAGTGCGACCCAAATTTCAATTTGTCTACTGTCTAAAATTCAGGGGTAGCCAAATAACTGCCTTGAAAAATATCTTGTGTCGACTTAATTCTTTTGCTTCACATTTGTAGACACAAAAATAAACATGTCTGCTACTGATTGTACTTGTAAATAATGCATCCTAAAGTCAACAATGAACCGAAATGCATAAATATTAATGTAATTAGTATTTTATTTTAGTTGATAGTTGATATGCCTATATAATCTTGTAACATAAATTGCATCATTGTTCGAGTCAGAAATAACAAAAATCAAGTACAGTTTCCACTAATATACAGCTAGTAGTTATTTGATAAAAGATAATTTCAAATGCTTTTAGCTACCTACTCTATCGGCTCGACTTCTTAATTTTACCACTGGCTACCTGGAAAAAAATACTTGTAGCCATATGGCTACTTGGTACAAATTTGGTAAAACAGTCCCCAACATCAGTCCTTTGTTACATGGTGTTAGGGGAATATGATCCATTGATGAATGTTGCTGGTAGAGACTGTGATTATGTAACTTTGTTAGAGCTGAATCAATGCTATAAACAGACAATGGTGAGCTGTGAACAGGCTGCAGCATGAAAACATGGGGCTCTGTGATGTAGGTTATCAAATCAATTATGGTTATATGTAATTTGAATGTTTGTCTGTCAGACATGTAAATCAGAGTAAGATGTTTGACCTGTGAATTCTAAACTCAGATTCTGTTTTATCTCATATTCTCAGCCTTTATTCATGTTCAGTCTGTCATACAGACTCTGAAACAAATATATCTAATACAGCCCATGCTAGTCTGTCTTACAGACCCTGATACAAATATATATCAAATACAGCCCATGCAAGTCTATAATGTTTGGCAAGTCTAGATCACTGCAGTATCAGGAGAGTCACTGGGCTCCTTTTTATTATATTTTTATTAAGATAACTGGACAACTGTTTTTTTATGTACGATATGTTCATTTCAGAGACTAGATGTTAGTCTAAGCCCATGCAAGTCTATAATGTTTAGCAAGTCTAGATTACCATGATTACTGCAGTATCAGGCTGAAAATGAAGAGAGTCTCTTGTCTCCTTTTTATTATATTTTTATTAAGATAATTTAACAACTGTTTTTATTCTGTGAGATATGTTCATTTCAGAGACTAGAAGTTTGTCTGAAGCATGTTCAGCTGAAAAGCTATCGGTCAAATGGCCACTGACCTGTGTTGGACCAATGAGTCTTTTTCATTTATGGCAATTTGGTTCTGATTTCCAAGGAATCAAGTATGGAATCTGTGTTCAATTATTTTCCAATTACAACCAACATCATTAGTTCATTTTAATGGATTTTAGGGGTTAATAAGTCCAGTTAATAAGATTTAGCAGAACAGGAATTAAGTTGATAAAAACACAGTAATAAAGGTCATGGTTTCAGTGGTTTAACCCATGGGGATTCCATGGTAGAATTGATCCCCAGCAACCAATATTCCTGAGTGTGGCGTTAAACAATGAAACCATACAGAACACAAGAGGCGACTAACGGGATCGGGTGGTCAGGCTCGCTGACTTGGTTGATGCATGTCATCGTGTCCTAATTGCGAGGATCGATGCTCATGATGTCAATCACTAGACTGTCTGGTCCAGACTCGATTATTTACAGACCGCCGCTATATACCTGGAATATTGCTGAGTGCGACATTAAACAACAAACAAACAATGGTTTAAATAATTGTTAATTGCAAGATACATATAAGGAAAACTCAAAAGACGAATAAGTCTGTCATGCTTGTATTGGCACATGCTGATGCAGTGGTTCAGTTTACATGTTTGGGTTTCAGAGCATTGCAGAGTATGGAAAAGTATTGTTTAAGATTATTGCTGTGGTGGTTTGACCTGTGAGGATTCAAGGTTAGAATAGGTACCCAGTTGGGCTGTTATGATTCCCTCGTCTATTTGGTGAATCGAACCATATCCCTTTATGAATTGAATTCGTTATTCGTGGCCACTAGAATCGAATATTTATGAATATGCAATCATGTGCATTTACATACTCTGTACCTAAAAATATTAATGAGAACATATTATGTGCATAGATTTCTTCAAAGGCATCGCTCTTATGATATTTAATTTGACAGTATTGTGGTCACTGGTCATTGTTTCATTTAAGCAGATACTAGAACCTGGATAAGTGAAGTATATAAATGTTTGATATATTAATAATTAACAAACCATGTCAAATATTTTATGTTGTTATTGTTTTGCTGAATATAACAAATAATACATCAACAGCTGACTTGTTTTTGAAATTGTGAATTAATATTCATATTTGTTACCCTATATTCATGATACGAATCGTATTCGCCTCATGGTGTATTTGATGCAGCCCTAGTACCCAGAACACTTTGCTCGTCGTTATTCATTTCAATGCGATGTTTAACAACAAACAAACAAACAAACAATGGTTTAAATAATTGTTATTTACAAGATACATATCATAAGGAAAACTCACTACCCAGAACACTTTGCTTGTCGTTACTCATTTCGATGCGATGTTTAACAACAAACAAACAAACAATGGTTTAGATAATTGTTATTTACAAGATACATATCATACATGTCATAAGGAAAACTCACTACCCAGAACACTTTGCTCGTGGTTAGTCATTTTCAGGGGTCAACGTCTCACTTCCTTATTTGGAGGCATGTGTTTGCTATTTACTTAAAATGTTCCTTTTTTGTTTCAGAATATGTGAACCATGAGATAAGATCTGCAATGAAGATGAAGATGACGCAGGGGTGTGAGGCATGAGCGTAACTATGGTGATATGATTACATAGAGGAACAGTGTGTAGTGAGCCTGATTCGAGTGATCTGTTGAATTTGTTGGAGTGGTGAGAGGTGCCACTGATGTTGACTCACGTTGTTACGAGACTGTTTTTCACATCGTGTTGACAAACATTTGGGAATGTCTCTGTGACGTTTGGTTTGTATAAATTTTGATGACAAAGTGATTATGACCAGACGGAGAATTATGGCGGTTGTCTATAGGTGTGTAACATATGGATCCTGGTAGTAGATTTGGAGTGAAACTTAAAACGACAGAAATGGAGGGTGCGAAAGCGATAGGGAGGGGTGTGACGTCTCGGACAACAACTACGACAACACGCAGCATCAGGACGCCATTGAAGCCGGCAAATGTAAAAGATCTAAAGGCGATGTTTGATCATTCAAAAGAAGACAAAGAAACGTCTAAAACTAAGACAGAAACCAAAGTGGTTAAAACAACTAGTACGTCTGCCTCTGGAATAAGTCCAAGGTCACATAACAAGGATGATTCGGGGGTCAAGGTCGTGTCCTTGACCTCAACAAAAACAGACTTAAAAAGAGAGTATGGTGGCAGTACTGGGAATGTTAATTTGTCAAAGGAAACATCATCAAGCAGTTCTGATCTTCTAGCCAAATACCGAGCTAACAGGACAGGATATTATAAAGACACACCACGACCAAATGAAACTCTTGCAGGAACTGTGAGCCAAAGTTCACCAGATCTGTCAAAGACTGGCAACAAGTCACCCCAGTCCTCCAAAACAAGTGTGTTCTCCTTTAGTGCCAATGATAAGCCTAAAGAATTCAGTGTTCCTAGGTTAAATCTGGACAGAGTGACCTCTGTAGAAAGTTTCGATAGTGCATCATCGAAAGACGACAGTTCACGATCTCGAAGCGACTGTGCCAGCCCAGTAAGTACAGGTAGCGGAAGCCCAAAGCTGATTGGTCGGGCAAAACCAAAATATCTACCAAGTCCTCGTTCGGATACTGCAGATAGTAGTATACGAGTTGAAATTCCAGTTGTCCATCATTCCAGTAACGATGAGACCAAACTCAGTGCAGTCAGTAGTGGAGGGAGGAGTGGGGTGTCGAGATTTCGGGATACCACCGACAGAACTGCTGTGTCCAAAACAAGCGGGACATCTCGGTTCAGTGATAGTACAGACAAAACATTTGTGTCGAAAACATCCCGTTTTGGTGACTCTGGCGATAGGACAGTTGTTTCGAAATATTCTACAGAAGTTAAAGGTCCTCTTGGGACTAGGACCAAAACTGTGGAGATTACGCAGTCTGAACGGAAGGTGGGATCGCCAGCAAAGGTTTCAATAGATGCACCTATTCCGTGGTCTGATAGGAACAAAGGCAAAGTTGGTGGCATATTAGATTCTAAAGAGGATGTTAAGGTTAAGACGGACTCCTCCAGCAGTTCACAACCGAGCTGGTTAGAAAAGAAAAATGCGAGGAATGTTTTGACTTCCTTTGTGTCGTCTGCTCAGTCAAAACATGACACTAAGACACAGACGAAGATCGAGCGTGAGATTCCTATTCAGAGGATTGGCGATTCCAATAAGAAAACTCCTGCAAGTAAAGAGGCATGGGTGCCTGCAGTTAAAACAACAACAGAGGTCAAACCTGAAAGGAGGTCGAGACAGGTCGATGTCAAGGTCACGAAGAAGGAAGAGGCTAAAACATCAAGAACAGTCACTGTGGCCAAACCTGAAATTACAAAAAGAACAAGTGATGTCTCAAAGAGGACAAATGATGTTACAAAAAAGAAGGATTTGTCCAAACCATGTGAACGCTCGGCTGCCAGTATTATTCAGGAGAGAAAGAACATGCTTACGTCAACCACCACAACCAGGACATCATCAGCCAGCAAACCTCCGCCGAGGAAGATGTCCGGGGGGGAAAAACTGGAGGCAGCTGGTCCGGGAGCGGACATTAGGAAAATGGTGTCTCGGAAAATGAGCACAGAGCGATTCCAGAGATTGAAATTTGATTTTGAACGTGGTGTTCCCACGGAGAGCTTTGAGAGGCGTGGTTCAGAGATTGATCACATTGAACTTAAACATCGTGTTTCGGAAATAGCATCAAAACCTACAACAACTAAGCTCACAAAAACAGATTCTTTTAAACGAAAAGAGGAATCAATATTTGCCAGTGGTTTGAAGGTGTCGGATTTTGTAGAACAAGTAAATAATTTGGAGACGAACAAAAATTGCAATGCTGGGAGAAAATGGAAAGCTGGTGTGTCACGACTCAAGCGTTCCTCTCGTATGATGGAGGACGGGCAGGAAAATGAGTACCTTGAGGTCGGAGACAACGATGGCGATATTTCGGATAGCGGATCGGATTATGGGATATATGAACATGTTCCAGAAGCTGGTCTTGCAGCCACAGAAGGTGAGTTTATGATACTTATGATGATATTATTGATATATATGTATATACAGCGCTGGGAGCATTCACGTACTGAATCAAATCTGATGCATAACATACAGACCTTGTATTATTCTTATTATAATTATTATTATTATTATAAAAATTAGTAGCATATTTATAATAAATTTAAACCGCCTCCGTGGTCTAGTGGTAGAGCGTCCGCCCGGAGAGCGGAAGGTCCGGGGTTCGATCCCCTGCCGTGTCATACCAAAAGACGTTAAAAGATGGTACTTGTTGTTACCCTGTCTGGCGCTCGGCATTAAGGGGCTAAAACAAGGACTGGTCAGCTCAGAGTCAGTATACTGTGTCTGAGTGGGGTATTCATGTTAAACTGCGGCATGGTATCTCATTGAGCTAGCACTATAAATCAGCATCAGTCCGGACTAATACAAGCAGCCACACACACGTACATGCACATCGCTATATAAGTGCAATAATCTTGGACACGACGTTAAACCCCATTTCACCTCACCTCACCTTATAATAAATTTAACAAACACATGATAACTGACAAATTATTTATTAGAATAACATTATACCACAGTAAATGCATACAGAACTAGTTTCTTTGGCGATTGGGGATTCTCATGTTAATACCAACTACCACTATAAATATAACAATGAAACCTGCGGTTGAGCATTAACCTTAACCAGCACAAATCACATGCCCAAGGATTGGGAGCAACTACCCGCATATAGTGCCGCGTGTATAGTGAGTAAGCATCACTGGAATGAGAAGCTGCTTGACTGAGGGTCAGTCATTACTGACCCCAGCATGGGGTGCATTCGAGGATATGACTTACGCTTCTGATTTGGTTGGTTGGTTTGTTGTTTAACGCCGCACTCGGCAGTATTCCAGCTATATGAGGGCGGTCTGTAAATAATCGAGTCTGGACCATGCTTCTGAGCATCAGAAACAGTATTTGGCAGCATGCCATTAACACATAAATATGTACCGCAATGAATGATGGGGGGAAATTATCCCCGGAAACATTATGGATAGCATTATGGATATTTAACTGCCATTTTACACTGGATATTTGAACATGTACAACAATGAATGGTTGGGGAAAAACTATCCCCGGAAACATTATGGATTTTACACTGGATATTTGAACATGTACAACAATGAATGGTTGGGGAAAAACTATCCCTGGAAACATTATGGATATTTAACTGCCATTATACACTGGATATTTAAACATGTACAACAATGAATGGTTGGGGAAAAACTATCCCCGGAAACATTATGGATATTTAACTGCCATTTTACACTGGATATTTGAACATGTACAACAATGAATGGTTGGGGAAAAACTATCCCCGGAAACATTATGGATTTTACACTGGATATTTAAACATGTACAACAAGGAATGGTTGGGGAAAAACTATCCCCGGAAACATTATGGATATTTAACTGCCATTTTACACTGGATATTTGAACATGTACAACAATGAATGGTTGGGGAAAAACTATCCCCGGAAACATTATGGATATTTAACTGCCATTTTACACTGGATATTTGAACATGTACAACAATGAATGGTTGGGGAAAAACTATCCCCGGAAACATTATGGATTTTACACTGGATATTTAAACATGTACAACAAGGAATGGTTGGGGAAAAACTATCCCCGGAAACATTATGGATATTTAACTGCCATTTTACACTGGATATTTGAACATGTACAACAATGAATGGTTGGGGAAAAACTATCCCCGGAAACATTATGGATATTTAACTGCCATTTTACACTGGATATTTGAACATGTACAACAATGAATGGTTGGGGAAAAACTATCCCCGGAAACATTATGGATATTTAACTGCCATTTTACACTGGATATTTGAACATGTACAACAATGAATGGTTGGGGAAAAACTATCCCAGGAAACATTATGGATATTTAACTGCCATTATACACTGGATATTTGAACATGTACAACAATGAATGGTTGGGGAAAAACTATCCCAGGAAACATTATGGATATTTAACTGCCATTATACACTGGATATTTAAACATGTACAACAATGAATGGTTGGGGAAAAACTATCCCCGGAAACATTATGGATATTTAACTGCCATTTTACACTGGATATTTGAACATGTACAACAATGAATGGTTGGGGAAAAACTATCCCTGGAAACATTATGGATATTTAACTGCCATTTTACACTGGATATTTAAACATGTACAACAAGGAATGGTTGGGGAAAAACTATCCCCGGAAACATTATGGATATTTAACTGCCATTTTACACTGGATATTTGAACATGTACAACAATGAATGGTTGGGGAAAAACTATCCCTGGAAAAATTATGGATATTTAACTGCCATTATACACTGGATATTTAAACATGTACAACAATGAATGGTTGGGGAAAAACTATCCCCGGAAACATTATGGATATTTAACTGCCATTTTACACTGGATATTTGAACATGTACAACAAGGAATGGTTGGGGAAAAAATATTCCCGGAAACAATTAAGGATTTGTTTTAACTACCTTCTATGAATCATCCTGAGAATCCCTGTCCCTACTGACAGGTACAGCGTGAACAGAATGATTGGGACAATGAGTTGTACAAACAACACTGATTGGGTATAAGACAAATTCCCCCGGACTTACACGGTATTAACCTTCTAAAGCACAACATGACACTGGAAGCGCTGAGACTGTGAACATGGACAACAGGTGGTGTTGAGGGAGGAGGTGGGATTTTCTCCGATTCACTCTAGGATCAAACTGATTGTATGTCAACTCCCACAACGTAAAAAGGCAAAGAAAGCTGGACAAAATGTATGGCGAAAACATGCCATGGTTCAAGGTCAGTACTAATTGTTGCAGCACCATAGTTGTAACTGGAAGGAATTGTTTTTTGGCACCGGATGTCTTCTTCACAGACCGCATGATGGTCTCTAAACATGCTAAATGCAACAAGGTACCACGACACCAAGGATTGTCTACCCCATGACGTAGATGGGCAAACCTGACCCCGCTCAGATATTCCCTGATTGTAGAGTATGTCAGTCCAAGTTTGTAATGGCAGTGAGACAGAAAATTTAACAATATTTGTTCTGTGAGCTGAGGTAGAACACGAGGAAACCACACCACACCGGACATACTCATAAATAACAGGAAGGCTCTTAACCCAGAGTCGTACACAGTTCTTGTATGCTTGGAGATCGCTTGTGACCAGAGGCGATCGAAGTCGAGATCGGAGGCATCGTTAGGTCTTTGAGCTGCAGGCTGGGAGTGGGGTGTGGTTGAGCCCTGGGAGCTAACTGACGGAGCTTCTGCATCGGGAACCAGACAAAGCATCTGCTATAAGATTGTCTCGACCTGGCATATGTACGGCGCTGAACACAAAGTTGTACATTGCTGCAGTAAGCACTCATTTCCGAAGGAAGAGCATGACAACCGGAATCTTTGATCTCCCCTTATTGAGAAGTGACACCGTTGCAGCATTATCACACACAAAACAGGTGCTCCTTGAAACCCACAGGTGGCCCCACAATGATGATGCCATGACAATGGGGGTAGAGTTCCAATAAAGCTATTGACATGTCCTCTCTTGCTACGTCGAACAGCTGTGGTGGCCACCTTTCTGCGCACCATTTCCCTTGAAAGTAGGCACCAAAGCTGACCGAGGCAGCGGCATCCATGAACAGTTGAAACTGAGCGGCAGTTATCATGTCTTTCAAGAAAAAGGATTTACAATTCCATTGTTCTACATATGTTTAAGTCAATCCGACATTCCTTGGTCAGAGAGATTTGATGATGTAGTTCGGGCACGGAATGGGCTAGTTTGAGTAGGTAGGTGACGAAGGAGTGGCCTTGGGGAATTATTTGCATTGCAAAGTTTAGGTGTCCAAGAACCCTGTGGAGCTTTCGTTTATTTTTTTCGTTGATTTTCTTTTTTCCATCAATTGATTCCATTATCTGCAGAATTCTGACAAATTTAGCTTCTGGGAGATGGGCTTCCATGTTCTCTGAGTCTAGCACAATGCCCAAATACTCTAAGCACTGAGTGGGGCCGATTGTCTTATGTAAGGACAATGGAATATTTAAGTCTGCAAACATGCACTAATTCCATCAGTAGATGGCCAAGAAGTAGCCCTTGAAACATAAAACGTTATAAAAATGTTATCAATAAAAAAAGTGATATTTTCCAACTTCTATAACACCAATAAAAGAATTCTATGTTGAAGTAGAGTCCAACTCGATGTGTTTAATTGTTAAACCCATGTCAGTATTTTGCCTGTCAGCAAATTTCTTGCCCATATAGAACTTTCCCAAGGCCAACAGTTTGATGGCGATGCTACAGGTGCACTTTGGATTAAATGTTGCAGACATGTAGATAGACTAATTAATGTATGGCAAAGCATGTCTGGATAGGGAAAACTGATACATTTTATCCTGATGAACTCTGTCTTATCTTCATGAGAATATTGTGAGTATAAACAGTCGACTTGGATAATATTGAAAAGTGTTACCACCTTTGGTGCACTCTCCGGGCATCATAAGACAATACAGCCCTTGTGGGGAATAATTAACAAGTGGAATGTGTGGGCATTTCAGGTTTTTTCTGATTAAAAAGTGAAATGTACTTTCTGACTTGGATGATGATGTAGGTTGATTTTTTCGGGATATGTTTTTATTAGTGGCACAAATGGTTCAGGGTGCTTTGTACTGTGGAAGAGGATTCATCATAAACATGTCAGGAACTTGGACTGTACATTGCTTCACGGATGTTGTAGATCGTACATTGCTTCACGGATGTTGTAGATCGTACATTGCTTCATGGATGTTGTAGATCGTACATTGCTTCACGGATGTTGTAGAACGTACATTGCTTCACGGATGTTGTAGATCGTACATTGCTTCATGGATGTTGTAGAACGTGCATTGCTTCACGGATGTTGAAGAACGTACATTGCTTCACGGA